CTCCATGTTTCTCCAGTGCCCCAAGGCCATGCTTCTCTCCTCGCCTTTTCCTGGGGTTCTGCTTTTCTTCTGCCCCACGGCTCTCTCCATGGCACTCAATGAGGTCTGGAGATTCCCCTTTCCCTGGGGGCTTATTTGTGACTTCTGCATTAGTCTAAATTTGGGGAAGGAACCAACTGAAACAGCAGCAATTGGCTCCCTACTCACCAGAGACTTTGCATTGGAGGAAGTGGCCGTTTGGTAAAGACGACTGTCCAGGGAACAGACCCCACAATAAGACCTCTGCTCCTCAACCTGATCTTCATTTGGCTCTTGCCAGTTTCTCCAGAGTCCTTCCATTGACACCATCCTGACAAGATCAGCCCTCCAGGCACAGCTCATGGACTGGACCAAAGATGCAAATTCCATCATACGGAGGCTCAGTCTGCGAGGCCTTGGCAGTATTGTGTTCCAGCCAGAAAAGGTGAGAGCCGGGGATTGCCCAGGGGACCCAGGAAGCCAATGCCCATCAAATAGCTCAGAAATGAGAGGGAGAGCCACACACAAGCCTTCTTGTTTAAAACACAGCCCTCAAATGGTGGAGGTGCTTTCGGAACAAATCAAGGCATGCCATGCTCCCTGCTCCCGTGAGCTGAGCCCTGATTGCAGATGGGATGCAATGGGGGAGGCGGGGTGAGCAAAGACAAAGGTGACAGTGAGCAACTGGCACAGAGTGACAGGAGAATGACTTTCTGCCCTGTTAGGGGGCTGTGCCCTCCGTGGTTTCTCGTCGGTGGCAGTGGTCCAGCATGTGCTCCAGGCTGTCACCTGGCATAGTAATGAGCTGCCTTCTTCATTCCGGCAGGTGCAATTCTTACGGGCCCAGCTGCCAGCAATCCTGGCCATGTTTTGTGACAGGGATGGAAGGCGTGTCATGGAGGCCATGCATAAAGCTGCAGACATCAACTACCTCCTCAACAGGGAAGGGCTTGGCTCCATCTCCCAGGACATTGCTGTCAGCCTTCGCCCCTTCATTGATGACGTAAGGCTTGGAACCCGCAGAAGAAGCCCATTCCCCCGCTCCAGCTGTCTGTGATGCCCTTGTCTCTCTCTCCCCATCCCCTTCCTCCCGCCCCTCAGGCCTGCCATGGAGCCTCCAAGGAGTGCCCCCGCCATGGGTGCGGAATCTCCTGCTGAGCCACCTCCCTGTCAGAGCTCTTCTCTCCAAAGCTCAGCCTCAGTGCCATGCTCCCAGCCCCTGCTGCAGCCTGGCCTGGGGGAGAGGGGGCCTGGCACTGGGCAGATGACCAGCTGTCTGGAGAACACAGGCCCCCAAAGAGGTGGAGATTCTCAGCAGGAAAGAGGTGGGTTGGGAATGGCCCGGCTCTCAGGGGCACCCAAGAGCAAAAGAAATGCTGTCTTTTGGAGCAGCCAGTCCCTGCCAGGCTCCAGCAGCTGCTTCTCCCCTTCCCCACACCAGTCTCCAGCAGCCTGCCTGCCCTCTCCCCTCATCTTCTCGGGTTCTAGGATTCTGTGCTCTCCAGACAGAAACTGCCTCTGGGACACCCTGGGCTGCACTGTCCCGCACAGGGTCTCAGGCTGCACAAGATGTCCATGGCGCTGGCCTGGTGGCCTCCCTGCTCCCGCCAGCCCAGGTAGTTCACACAGGGGGACCGGAGCAGCGTGCGCATCACCACTCAGTGGCGTTCTGCTCTGATGCTGCCTGGCTTTAACCGGGGGTCCCCACCCCCTGTGTGTCATTGCCAGGAGAAGGGCAGTGTGCGCTCAGCTGCCATTGTACTGCTTGGCAACGTGGTGAGCAGGGTGCAGGACCCCGACAAACCCTTCGTGCAGCAGGAAATCATCCACTGCTTGCTCCCCCTGCTGCTGCATCTTGAAGACCAGGAGGAGAGTGTGAAACTGGTAAGTGCCACAGTCATTATTGCCTGAAGAGCAAAGAGCCAGTATCTCCTGGGGCCCCCACTCCAGTCATCGCCAGAGCCCCTTGCCCAAGCAGAGTCTTCTCCTCCCTGCTTCACTCCATGCTGGAGCCAAGTGCCTCATCCATCCTCACAGCACACAGCACAATTGGGAAGAAAAGCCTTCTTCTGGGAAAGAGGTGGGGCATAGCATAGTGGAGCCGGGAGTACTGCTGCTGGCCCCGGCATGGCCCAGGGCCTGCGTCCCCCTGAAGTGCAGGGCCCCCCAAAGCACGGGGCCCTGGGCAACCACCCCAAACCATCCAAAGGACAGGACGGCTCTGGCTCTCTCCAGCCAACTCTCCCTTTCCTCTCCTCAGCACACTCCTGTGGAGAACAAATGACAGGAATCTCCACTGGCAGGAAAAGCAGGAGAACAAGGGACGGGGAAGGTTCCATGTCCCCCAGACTATCCCTCTCTCAGGGAGAACCCTCTTGGTCTCCTCTTCTCTTGCAGTCATGTAAACTGACGCTCTTCCGCTGCGCAGTGTTCCTCAGGTGGGCTCATTTGAAGACCCTCTCCCGCAGCTTGGCCTGGGATGGCTCCTCACAGCTCTTGAAGTGTGTCTGGATCTGCTTGGTAGGTGAATTCCTTGTGCCTTGAGAGTGCTGAATGGGGACTTGAGGAAGACCTTTCTAACTCCACACCCTGAGTACCCATCCGCTTCGGTCGGGCTGCAGGACTCCGTTCCAGGCTCTCTGCTGGCTCATTTCAGCAGGAGTTACAATCCGTTCACATTGTTGACATTTTTCTCCACAATTCTCCGACCTTCAAACTTTGTCTTTTCAAAGGAAAGCTGAGGTTCTGGAGAACACAATAGGAACTTCAGAGGGGTGCTGCTCTGGTGTATGGGTTCATATTGGCGGTTGCCAGGGCCTGGCTATATGCATTGGCTTTCCTGGACTATTTGCTGTGGGAAGAACATGTCATTTGTATATTGTGCATTTCTTCCTTCTTTCTTCCTAGATGCAGAACAACGAGAGCCACATCCCCAAATTCCTGTTCCAGGCCTTACAGTACCTGGAAAGCTCACAGACAACAATAAGACATTCAGCAGCCCGATTCATTGGTAAGCAGAGCAAATTCACTTGATCTTTTCTCAATGCTTCCTTCAGAGCCCTTTTCTGGACGGCTGCTCTGTTCCCTCCAACAGCACCAGAATCCTAAAACGGGGTGTGTGTGTGTGTGTGTGTGTGTGTGTGTGAATTAACATGTATTCCAAGATGAAGGGAGCAACTTAACTGAATCGACTGCACCAACTTCCCCCGCCCACAACACTTCTTTGGCTGAGCCTAGGGGAAACCAGCAGGATGTGAATTCAATCTCCTTTGGAAGTCAGCCTCTCAGTAACTTCTGGGCCTCTGATGCTTTCTGGAATATGCTTTGTGAACAGATGTAAGGAATGTCTGGAATTTCCCAAAGGTGTCTTGGGAGAATGGCTGCATCATTAGCAGTTTTCAGGAAAGGATCTGAAAAGCCATGAGAGCCATTGTATTCATTGCAAAAAAGAAAAGGAGTACTTGTGGCACCTTAGAGACTAACCAATTTATTTGAGCATGAGCTTCATTTCCACGGTATGCATCCGATGAAGTGAGCTGTAGCTCACGAAAGCTTATGCTCAAATGAATTGGTTAGTCGCTAAGGTGCCACAAGTCCTCCTTTTCTTTTTGCAAAGACAGACTAACACGGCTGTTACTCTGAAACCTGTCATTGTATTCATTGTTTGTCTAGGAAATACTATCCACCATTACTGTGATTTGTTGTCTGAAACAGTGAATGAAGATGGAATCTCCCGCCTGTATGAAGGTAAGGAAATACCTCTGTGTGTTTGGGCCTCTGTGGGAAGCACAGGGGTGCAGCACAGGGCCTGAACACAGCTTTGAATGTGTCCCTCTCAGTCTAAGGACAGCGTTGAAGGAAGAAGGATGGTCACGCCAGCTTTCATCGTGGTCCCACAATCTGTGTATGGGAGCAGGGGAATTCCATCCTGAGCTCCTAGTGTAGACATAGCCTTAGAGCTGTGTGGGGAGACTGTCTTCATCAAGGTCAGAAAGTCTCTAAAGGAAGGCCTGACCCAACTGAAAAGGGCTGTTGGTATTAAGGATGATGATGATGATGATGATGTATTCCCCTCTGTAGGGAAAGATTCATCACCTGCCCTCCCTGGAATGGAGTGATTGCAGGCCAGGGACCTTCACTCCGAGATTGGTTATCAGCTCCTAGGAAATCCCATGAGGGCACATGGGTGACACTTTTCCCTGTGAGCTCTTCAGGAATGAAGGCACAGGGCCACAAAGCATTTCAGGAGACGTTAGGAGCCGAAATCCCTTTGTGGATCTCGGCCTAAATGTTGTATGGTTTAATGTGGCTGCCGCTGTCACTTTCCTGTTCCATCCAAAGAACAAGTGCCCCCAATCGTCTGTGTGTGCGGGTGTGTGGAGGAGTGTCTGCCAGCAGAGGGGGAAGTTAGGCAAGAATGGGGTCTCCTCTCTGTCCAGGGCTACTTTGGGAGGAGCGGAGTTGTTGTTCTTGTGCCCTTAGACTCTTGGGGAGCTAATAGCAGGGGGCAATGGCCATCGGAAGTGGAGGTTTCCTAGGTACCAGTCACATCAGCATCACGGGGTTTTCAACCCATTTCCTCTTGGTTTCAGCTTTTCACGAAGTGCCTTTGAAATCAGACAGGACCACGTGGTACATCCTCAACAGATATTATAAATGGTTGCAGAAGCTTGGAAATCTCGTGTCGGGTTCTGCATTTGACTAGGGAACCGGGACCGACACAGACGAGCTCTTTGTCCTGCTATGGTAAATACAACAGACGCTTCTCAACTTTTTGGTGTCCCTGGCCTCTGTTTGCCAGAAGCTGGGAATGCGGGACAGGGGACTGATCAGTAGATGATTGCCTGTCCCTTCATTCCCTCTGGGGCACCTGGCATTGGCCACTGTCGGAAGACAGGATACTGGGCTAGATGGACCTTTGCTGTGGCCTTTCTTATGTCCTTATGTTTGGAACCGGGGCTGAACAAGGAGGTGGATATCAGCAGATGACCCAAAATTATGTCGATTAGTCGGGCCTAGAGAAGACTTGGAAGAAGTTGAAAGGGATCTAAGAAAGCTATGTCACTGGGCAGCCCCATGGCAGATGAAAACCAGCGCTGACCAAGGCAGGGCCATACACATGGAAAGCAGTGAGGTGAACGACTCCTCCATAGCGCTGGTGTCAGAAGCCAAAGCACGGCTGGTTGGGCCCAGTGGTTGGAGCAGGGGCACTGGGGCCTCGTGCTCAGAGTGGTGGAGGCCGAGCCAAGGGGAGCCAAGGGTTGGAGCCGGAGTCAGGAGTCAAGGGCAGGATTGGAACAGGCTGGGGAATAGGGCAAGGGCCGGATTAACAATCCCCGGCCAATGGGCGCTGCGGGGAGGCAGAGCCTACAGGCAAGATCAGCCCCCGGGACAGAGGTTCCCAGTGTGGTGCTCGTTGTGGTGACGTGGCTGGCGGGGATGAGGAACGGCAGCGTGAGGAGCCTCCTCGCCCCCACCCCAGCCAGGCAGAGCCGGCCCGGCCGCAACGCAGCACGCAGGGGTTTAGTGACTGCAGCCTGGGCCCCCCTTAGCCCTACTCCTTTCCTGAGTGCACCATTGCCCCACTTCTGCCCCATTCCCACACACTGGTACAGGGCAGAACCCTGGAGCTGATCTCTGAAATCTCTCTCACTAGAAGGAAGTCACTGCAAAGGCAGGACAACCCCACCTTTGGGCACCATGGAGGACATCTCATCCCACTGCACAGAGCCCTACATTCACACAGCTTCTCGCATGTGGTTCCCTCACTCATCAGAGCCAGGTGGAGAGAGGAAAAATTCTCCCAGACTCCCTTTTACCATTGCCAGCCCAAAGGGTAGCAGAGGTTGCGGGGGGTTGGGTGCTCTCTTTAAGAAATGCCAGCTCTCAGGGAAGTTGCCAATGAGCATCAGCAAAGTGGGGTGGGGTTGTGCTGTGGAAACCTACCCTGCTTGAAGGTTTTGTTCTTCTCATTTGGGTTCCTGCCCTTTCTCCCTCTTCCAGACATCGAGAGGCCAACAGGAGCCAATTGAGCCCACCACTGATCCCATCTCTTGTGAGATGGCAAAGCAACTTTGCATGGGAAGGAGGAGACACAAGAGGCCGAGCAGCATGTGCCGGGCTGAACCAGCCACACAGAACCCCATAGTCTAGGTGGAGAAAGCCAAGCCCGGCCCCAGCCCTGCCGGACATGCTCCAACTGGAGCACCAGTGTGTAAGCGAGCAGCTCAGACCGATGAAAATGGAGAATGCACACTGTAGGCTCCAGTCCAGAAGCAGCTCAAGCCCCTGACTGCAGAGCTCTGAGGTGCCGAGACCCAGCCACGTCCCTGGGGGCCTGCAGACATGCAAGGGAGATCGGAGACCCTGGGAGTTTCCCACGCCGGGAACCCAGAGACCCCCAGCCCATGGCCTAGAGACATCTCCAAGGAAGTAACCTGGGTGAACTAGCCATTGTCATCCGCAGTGCTGGATCCCCACTGACTCAATGGCACTGAAGGGCAGCTATACAGACTCCGGCCGTTGGGCCACACAGCATTGAGGGAGAGAGTAGCCATATTGTCCGTTGCCATCGGGCCACATGGGCGTAAGAGACAGGATAGACATATGGACAATGAGCGTTGAGCCACACAGCCCCGACGGAGCGGGCAGCCGCACGGACCCTGGTCGCTGGGCCACACAGCCCCGACGGAGAGGGCGCCGGGGGGGGCGCACGGACTCTGGTCGCTGGGCCACACGCCGGGGGGGCTGCACGGACTCTGGTCGCTGGGCCACACGACGAGCGCGGGGGCGGCTGCACGGACTCTGGTCGCTGGGCCACACAGCCCCGATGGAGAGGAAGGCTGCACGGACTCTGGTCGCTGGGCCACACAGCCCCGACGGAGAGGGCGGCCGCACGGACTCTGGGTGTTGGGACACACACACTGCGTGGGAGGGCAGCCATTTTGACACTGGGCATTTGGCCAAACTACCCTGAGGCTTAGGGAAGTTATTTGATGTCAGCCATGGGACTTCGCCCCTTCACTCCTCAGACATCGCTCATCTGTCACCATGAGACCGACCCCATGACAGAAGACTTTTGGGGTCAAGATGCAAACAGGAGTCGAAGCAAGGAGTGGCATGTGACCCCTCTAAGAGATCCTCCCACTCCTTTACCAATCTGGGGGTGTTTTATCTCCATCCACCTGCCTCAGGAATGGATTTGAGCAATTGGGGAATGTTCTGGGGCAGAGTGACCCATCCGGAAGTGGGTCACGTGACCCTCCAAGAGCTCCTCCCATTTGGGGTGGCCTCAGCCCCTTAGGACCCACCAGAGAGGGGATTTCACCAAACATTATAAGTGCCCTGGTGGGGTGACCTGCCCGCAAGACGGGTCCATCACCCCTCCATGAAATCCCCGCACCGTCCTCTGCTAATCAGTCAGGGTTTCACACACACGCTTTAGGCCATCCCAGAAGGGAAACGTAATGATCAGAATAGGCAGTGCCCGAAGGTCTAGGCCACAAGCCGCCGATCTCTGGAGCTCCATGTTTGCGAGGCTGGCAGCATCGTCCTGGAAGTCGCAACACAACACTGCGGGGAAGAGCTCGTCTCGTTCCAAGGATGTCTTTTGAAGAAACCGTGGCCTAGACCTTCGGGCTATACCTGTTCTGGATTGGTACACGTTTCCCTTCTGAGATGGCGTAAAGTGGGAGTGAAACCCTCGCCAACTGCTAGAGGGTGGTGTGGGGACGTTTTAGAGGGACCACGGGATCCTGTTGCGGGCAGCTCACTCCACTGCAGCACTTCCCTTCTTTGGTCAAATCCCCTCTCGGGGTGGTCCTACGGGGCTGACGCCCACTTCAATTGGTAGAGGACACAGGGAGGAGTTCTCAGAGGGGATATACAACCCCCTTCTGCGTGGGTCACCCTGCCCCGCAACCTTCCCTGATTGGTCAAATCCAGTCTCCGGGTGTGTAAAATGCTGGTTGCCCCTGCCAAATTTTCCTAAAAGAAGGGAAGAAAGGCATGTACCTTTTGGGTTATCTGTCAGGTGGCCATCTTGGACTTGGGAAAAGAAGCTGGTGACCTTTAGCCATTTCCTCTATTAGTTTGGGTTGGGGAGCACACTCCCACGCACGGATTGAATCCGCGTAGATAGGGTCTAACATCCAGGCAGAGACGACGCAAAGAGGGATAGGGAGGGTTTTTAGTTAGGTCTACTCACCCGTTCCTGTGTCCATCATGGAGTCCCTCCCTGACGTCCAATGTCAAGAGAGCAGCAGCCGTCCATCGCTGTCCCTGCAAGAGAAGGGAGAGAGAACATCAACCTGACCTCCTGGGTGTAATTGTTTGGGAGACTGGAGCACTTCCAGAGTTCAAGTTTTGTTAATCCACCCCTTCTCTAGCCTAGCCTAGTCCTTTTCCCTCTCGTAAATAAAATCTTGTTTGTGTGCTTGCCACTGCCTGGCGTTATTTTCTTGTGCTAAGGCAAGCTCTGACAGACTGGCTTTACAAAGGGGACCATGTGGGAAGAATTTACTGTCAGATTCCCTGCAGCTTGTGAATGGGGTTTGGGTTCTGCCCTTTTGAAAGGAAGGAAAAATCCTTCCAGGTGATCCTACGGGGCTGAAACCCACTGGGATTACTTAGTAATCTGTCCTCTTCACTACCATGCTTGTGACCCTCTGTGTCATAGGGAAGTAGCCCATGGCTCATTATGCATCTTTGGATTTAAAATGGACACGTGTGGTGTACAGACGAAGAAGGACAACTTTTCAAGTCCAGTGTGCACAGAAATGGGATGGACACTTCAAGGATTGAATACAATGCTTTGATCTTCCATCTGTTCATTAAAGAAAGACAAAGGTGCAGATTTGGGAGGCTCGGCACTGACTTCCCCAGGATCATTCCTCTCCGCGTAATTCCCATGATAAATCTCCTCTCAAGGAAGAGCCTGAGGAAGTGTGATCAGGGGAACTACCCAGAGCACCAGATAAATCAGGGCCCTGAGCTGAGAAAAACCAAGCCTTGGAAAGAGGCCCAAGCAGCTCAGCCGTCTTGTCCTCTGCTGTCTTGTGTGTGTGTCGCGTGTTGGTGTCGCGTGTGATTTCGGTGTCGTGTTGTCTGCCGTCTTGTGTGTCGTGTGACATGTCGTATGTTGTGTCGTGGGCGTGTGAGACGTCGTGTGTGTGTGAGACGTTGTGTGTCGTGTGTGTCGGTGTTGTGTATGTATGTGAGATGTGTGTCGTGTGTGTGAGATGTGTGTGTGCAAGACGTGTGTGTCATGTGTGTCAGTGTCGTGCGTCGTGTGTCGTGTGTGTGCCGGCGTGTTTGAGACGTCGTGAGTCGGCGGGTGTCGGTGTATGTGGTGTGTGTGTGGGGGCATGTGTCGTGTGTGTGCGGGCGTGTGTTGTGCGTGTGTGGGCATGTGGTGTGTGGGTGTGTGTGTGAGACGTCATGTGTGTGTGTGAGATGTCGTGTGTCGTGTGTGTGTGTGCGTCAGTCGTCCTCTGTGGTGTGTGTCAGTGTAGTGTGCGTCGGTGTCATGTGTGTCAGTGTCGTGTGTCAGCGTGTGGGTATGGTCCGTGTGTGTCGGCACGTGTGTGTGTGACGTCGTGTGTGTGTGTCGGCATGTGAGAGACATCGTGTGTTGGCATGCGTGTGTGTGTGTGGGTGTGTGTTATGTTTGTTGGCATGTGTGAGAGACGTCGTGTCCCGTGAGCGAGCGCGTGAGTGTGTGTCGGCACGTATGAGAGCCGTCGTGTGCCTTGCGTGTGTGTGTCGGCGTGTGTGAGAGACGTGTTTCTGTGTGTGAGGCGTTGTGTGTCATGTGGTGTTGTGTGTGTGTGAGACGTGGTTGTGTGTGTGTTTTCTTGAGTGTTTTGTTGGTGTGTGATGTGTTGTGTGTCAGTGTTGTGTGTGATTTTTGTGTGTGTGACGGGTTGTGTGTCGTGTTGTGCGTGTGCGACGCGCACTGTGTTGTGTGTGCGACGCATGACGCGCTGTCTACAACGTGCGACAGGCTGTGTGCGATGTGTTGTGTGTATAACATGCAACGTGGGGTCTACAACCTGCGACGTGCGATGCACGAGCAACGCTCGACGTGCTGTGTGCTACGTGTTGTGCGTGTGACATGTAAAGTGCAACATGTTGTGCGTGACGTGTGACATGCTGTGTGTTCAACGTGCAACATGTCAGTGTCGTGTGTGTGTGTCTCAGTGTCGTGTGTGTCTCAATGTCATGTGTGCCATTTTGTGTCATGTGTCGTGTTGTGTGCGTCGTATGTCTGTGACATGTAGTGGGTGCGTGCGCACGACATGTTGTGCATGTGCATGTGCGTAGTGTGACGTGTGTGATGTGATACGTGCGACAAGCGACAAACTGTGTGCAACGTGCTGTGTGTCGTTGAATGTATGTGAGACGTACTGTAGGTCGTGTTGAGTGTGAGACGTGTTGTGGGTCGTACTGAGTGTGTGAGTGTGACATGTGGGTCGTGTTGTGTTGAGTGTGACATGTTGTGGGTCATTTTGTGTTGAGTGTGTGTGTGTGTGAGATGTTGTGGGTCGTGTGTGTGATGTTTTGTGTGTGATGCTTTCCGTGTCATGTTGTGTGTGTGTCTGTGTCGTGTGTTATTTTTGTGTGCCGTTTTGTGTCATCGTGTGTGTGTGACGTGTGTGCGTCCGTGCGTTGGACGTATTATGTGTGTCCGTGTGGGAAGTGCGAAGTGGGATGGGTCAACTTGCCGCCCCCTCCCCCAACACTTTAGCCCCCTGTCGTAAACATGACCCTACCCCCTCCCCAGGGTGCTACTGACACTAAAACGACCTAAAAGACCCCCGACTTATCACTATTGGCTGGCACCCCATTGCCACCCGCATTTCTATGCTGCTGCTGGCCAAACCCTCCCCCAAAATCTAAACCCCACCCCCTACCCGGAACCCAACTGGAACCCTGACCCCATAACCTGCCCCCCAACTCGAAACCCCTGAACCAAAACTATAGCCCAACCCTCACCCCAACCCGAACCTCCAGCTCTGAACCCAGCCCCCCGAAGCCTGACACCGCTTTAAGCCAGAGCCCACTTCCCCATTCCCACCCTGGGCAACAACAGTGCAAACCACACCCTCCTGCCCCCCGCCCAGGGATCCTGCTTCTTACCACCCCTTCTTTGGAAATGAACCTTTTCTTCACTTGCATCCCACACACCTTCATTCTCCTTTGAGGGCTTATTTAGTGACAGGGGTCTACACAAGGCAACTCTTTGCTATTACAGCATAACAGGACACAGAGAAGTGAAAACAGTGCAAACAACATTCCACGAGTTTTCAGGAGGTTTAAACACCCAATACATTTGAACATTTAACATTCGCTTTGATCTCTACTAACACACACATCCATGGTTGGTAGGCTCTGTTTGCTGCGGTGGATCCACTGGGGGTTGATGTCATGGGGGTTGAGTGAAAACCCACTAAATTGACAGCAGAGCGCTCTCCAGTCGCCATTGGGACTGCGCCAGGAACGGCAGGAAAAAGGTAAATTGACCGAAGAGCGTCTCCCATCGACCCAGCCCAGTG